TCTTCAGCATGCTAGGGCTAGTGAAGTCCTTATAAACGCGGGTAATGTACCACAGATCCTCTAGGGGTAGCTATCGACTCGGACAGCCAGGCAGCATTGAAGGCAATTGCGGCATCGACGGTAAAGTCCAGTGCCGTTTGAGACTGCATTAGAGCCCTGTCAGACATTGAGGAAATAACAAAATTACCATTGTCTGGGTTCCAGAGTACACAGGGCAGAGGGTGAACGAAAAGGCCGATAAATTGGCCAAAGGAAGTTCAACGAGGACACCTATTAGCCCTGAACCCTTTTTTGGCTTACCAAACTGCCAAAAACGCAGATCAATTAGACACTGGATTAATAATACGTCCTCTGCACAACGGGAATGTAGCCCTGGACAGAGGCATGGGATAAAGCTTATCAAAGGGCCATCGCAGAAACTAACAGCAGAACTACTAAATCTAGGACACGCTAGGATTAAAATAATAGTTGTGTAGTGGCCACTTGTAGCTACCGCAAGTTACCGCTAGATGCCACTACGACTTATGGAATGTTCTCGCCCTCCACTTTGCAGCCAATCAGAGTAGGGCTCTTCACTATATAAGCAGGGGCACTGCCTCGCTGGAAACAGACTCGTCAACCCGACGAGATCTCATATATCACTAATGTAACCAACATCGGCAACAACGACAAGAGACTCGTCAACCTGACGAGATCTCACCAAAGGAACACCGTCGACGACAGCAAGTACTCGCTGCATCAGCCTGATCTCGCCCTCTAACAGCCGACTTGGCTATAAACGCCAAACGCTGCTCTCGGCTAATCGCTGCGTCCCAAACCTTCGGGCCTCTGTGGGTGGAGTCAGCCGACTCACGGCCCCTGGACCTCAGCCAACGGTAGACTCATGGTCACAGACCACCAACCAACGGCGCCACGCACACGGTCACAGCCTCGATTCACAAAACTCCCAGTCACTAAAAGTTGTATTGCTAATTGGACACTACAGACTCAGGAGGCATATGTATGGACTCGGATTGACCAAGCCCGAGCAGATATTGCCAAGAAGAAGAAACCGCGCAAAACGCCCTCCGTTGGTGGAAAGGCTTAGGCTGAGATTCCTAATTCTGGGGGAGGAAAAGCCAGGACATGAAGGATACATACGGGAGCCTTTGAAAAAGCTGTGGGGTCTGGTAAAAAGCCTCAAGCTTAACGAGGAGCTCTAGATAACAAAATGGAAAGCACAATCGACCAATACTGGTCGCGGTGCACAGGTCTTAAAGAGGTCGTCTATCTATCTAATATTTAAGGTTTTCTGTTGGTTTTACGTGAAAATGCTACTAATGCTCAGATGGGATCTTGTTAAGTTCAACTCTCATTCACTTAAAAGAATAATTGGAATTTTTATACTTACAGTTTTCTCTAAAATTTTATATTGGAAATTCTTTTAAAGATATTAAAGGCCTCTCTTAGAATGTTAGATAAATAATTATCATGAGCTAAAACTTTTATTTATTAACATAAAATTTTATTTAAAGAAAATCAACTTTTTAATACAAAAATATCTTATATTTAGTACTTAATACTTTAGTGAGCTTATTAAGGTAACAGCTAAACTAGGTAGGCTCTATTAGGTTTACTCCACTAGGTAAACAATGGATCAACGCATTATCAAACACCATAAAAATATTCAACGAGAACAGATTAAAATGAATAATCTTGAAAATTAACATGAAAAAAACATTATAAACTTGAAAGTATACAGATCAAAGTGTCCATCATGTGAAAAGTAAAAATTATTAACTTAATTTATCAAGGTGTGGTTGGAAACGATAAATAAAATTCTCGGTGTTTTGGAGGTAAATAATCACTCATTTCGACAAGATATTTATTTTCGCAGCCGAGATTGGTCACATGCCGTCGTCAAGTTTTAATTAAGACAACATGGATTTTCCAAGAGTCAAGCACGGGATATTCTCTTGTTCGAATTGTGTAGGGCTATCTGTTTTGAAGATAATCCACCCCCAACTTTTAAATGATTGTAAATTTGACATTTGATATTACTGAAGTCAACCAAATTTTCAGCCATCTACATAACGTGTAGAGATTAGTGACCGTTAATCGAAAGTTATTCAGATATCGTGAGATGCGGTCGGGTGTGATGTAGGTTTCAGAAAAACATTTTCTTTATCGTGCCAACGTTTCGATCTTTTATTGAGATCATCNGGCACAATTACACAGAAGACAAACACTTTGAGTGAGTAGAAATACTTTGTTTGAATATAAAATATATTTTGCATTGTATAAATTCACTTTTCCACATCCGAAATGTATTTGTTAAATGTAAACATTGTTTGTAAATCCCAGGCCCTGAAGATGATCTCAATAAAAGATCGAAACGTTGGCACGATAAAGAAAAGTTTTTCTGAAACCTACATCACGCCCAACCGCATCTCACGATATCTGAATAACCATCTACATAACCTGGAATGAATTATTTCATTTTCGTAGTCATGGAATTCATAATACATATTAATTATAATTCATGTCAACAAATTCAAACTGTGTTCGTTGATTCTATTTAGAATAACAGCTTTTATTATGGCATAATTCACAAAGTTTCATATTCCAGTTAAAATACGGTATTATATAACCTAATCGTATTTTTGAAACACAAAACTTATTTTGAATTAAAGAGAATAAATTAGTAATTATTATAATTAATTTTATTGTTTTCATTTTAACCCAATCTAACGAAAAAACCAAGAAAATATAGCATAACCCTCACTATAAGATAGAACAGGTTCTGGCCATCTTTTTCCAGGTCTGAGGATGGCCTCGATGGCCCATTCATTCCTTCCCAGCATTTTTCATCTTTTTATTTTTTTACATGAACCCATTCAGCCACATTAACATTTCATTTTTGCCTTGATTTACCTTTTATAGGAGCAACACGTGAAACGGGGGCCATGGTGATCAAGACTCTCGCTGAAAGAACTTTTTTACGAACTGCTAAACCCACGTATTCACTGTTGCGGTAAAAATTTAAAAATCGATCTATAGCTGACACCCTCTTTCAGATAGAGTCTAAATGATGTGAATTTGTTTAAATGAATCCTTTTTGCACTAAAAATTTGGTATATCAAATTTTGTCAAATTGAAGTTTTTTAGAGGGAGCCCTTCTTTTTTAATTGTATACACACGAAATTTGTGATAGGAAAGGTAAATTTCACGGATGGAATTTCAACCCACGGACTTGAAATTTATTTTATATTAGTTTTAAAAACTCAACCAACAAAATAAAGAACAAATTACTTATGCAGTGAATGTAAGCAACCCTTATAAATTAAATAATGGAGCTCTTGAAACACGTCTGAATTAATTCCACTATGTTGGTTCCTAGCTTTTAAATTGGAAGACGTTTTCATAATTACGTTTCATAAAGATCAAAATTTCCAACAATTTTTTTTGTTATTTATTGATAACTGATGCTTCCAGTTTGTCATAAATACCAGTCTATGTTACCAATGTTATCAGGAAACGGAAATGAACCCGTTCATTTGAGAATTAACCCGAATGAATAAATTATCCGCCTGGGTTTAGTACGAGTTTTGAATTAATATACCAAGGCTGATTTCGACGTAAAATTGATGGTGGATGTTGATTTGCGAGTCTGTGAACACATTGAAACTGGGTCTGTCTTCAATAAGGAAAAAATCTTTTCCGAAGCCGTTTAACAGACGTGATTCGTGCTGGTGGTGGCCAAATCGACGCTAAACAGAAAGAAATACGATGGTGGATGTTGGTTTGGGAACCAGTGTACTAATGTTCTGGTACTGGTCATTTACCGGGTCGCCAGTTCCTCACTGAAAATGACAAAACCGAAAAAAGTTGGAGTTGAACTGAATTCAAAAATTCACTAATTTCGTGGTCCGCTTGACCAATTAATACATTTCAATTAATTAAGGTTTTTAGTTGAGATGAAAAAAAATTAATGGCACGAGCGGGATTCGAACCCACGATCTTCGGCTAGATACGCCGTTACTCCACCACTTGAGCTATCGTGACCTCGATCCACTCGGACATCAACTCCCGATCTCAACCCCACCTTACGAGTTTTCCCTCCTTTTGCCATTTTTGAAATGTCGTCGAGAATCCAAACCGATTACACGACATTTGAAAGTGGGAGAGCAGCGGCGTATCTCGCCGAAGATCGTGGGTTCGAATCCCGCTCGTGCCATTAACTTTTTTTCATCTCAACTAAAAACCTTAATTAATTGTAATGAATTCAAAAAGCTGAACAAAGAAGGATCTCCAAAAAGATTTTAGTGGAGAAATAACAATACCCAAATGAGAGAACTTCTGATACTCGTGGCTTCTAGAAAATTTAATTGAATGGGATATTTAAATTGAAAGAAAACTTCTAGAGTATAAACTACTAGAAAAAGGAGAAAAAAACAAAAATGCTATATTCACATAGTTGATTTGGGCAAGTAGAAAAGCGAAATAAAAATATTAAAAACCAGGAAATTTCAATTTAAAAAAATTTAAAAAATAGGAAACATGGCCTATACATAAGAAGTGGCCTACATGTGCCCGATATTTTGGGATGTAGAATCACCAAAAAAGGTTTGGTCCAAATCCATGACCCACCAACCTGGTCTTCCCAACATTAGATTTAATGTTAAATCGAAATCCAAAAATTAATTTTTCAGCACATTGGCCGTCCTTTTGTAATTATTCTAGAAAATTTAAAATGTACGTGTTCATGTTTTGTTAAAATTAATGTCAAGGTAAATTTAATGTATTTTTAAGTTGGTGAAAAGTTTTGGCAAAATACAATATAAACATTACATAAGTTTAATATTGAACCATCACAACAAAACCAATCACATCAAAAAGGACGACAAATTTCTTTCTCAATACAGGAAAGAAATTACATAAGGTGAGTAAGAGTTTCTTTAAAACAAAATCAATTTCCCAATAGAGAAAAAATATTGTTTAAAAGACTAAATTTAACTTACCCTCAGTATCCTGAAGGGGCTGTCGACTAGATGACAGATTTCTCCCAAAACGTTATCGGGTAGTTTTCCTTGAATGAGTGGAATCATCGCTTTGATTCGACTTTCGTTATCGCTCTTGAATTCTTTTTGCGCAATGCAACGTTTCCGCAGATGATTTCCCTGGAACGTTAAATAAAAACAATAAGTATTATTAATAGTTATTCGGAGATCGTGAGAAGAGGTCTGGTGTGACGTAGGCTTTAGAAAAACATTTTCTTTATCGTGCCAACGTTTCGATCTTTATTGAGATCATCTTCAGGGTCTGGGATTTACAAACATTGTTTAAATTTAACAAATATGTGTAGGATGTGGATTTATACAATTTATACAATGCAAAAAATATTTTTCATGTTCAATCATAGTATTCCTATTCACTCAAAGTGTTTGTCTTCTGTGTAATTGTGCCATTCTTGCGTGTCGTGTCGAGAGTGCCAGTGAGATTTGGCTATTTTGTGTTTATATACGTTGGAATTTGAAGGGGTGGGGAAGGAAGTCGGAATAGAAAGACATTTTTATATGAGGAGTCGGCTCTTTGAGGCGGAAGGAGCCGACAATGGGAAAAAATGGGTAATGGTTCGGCCTGATTATCCTTTCAGGATTATATAGACGGGGATAACTAGGTAAAGGAAAGTCAAATTTTTGAAGAATTAGCCTACGTAGAAATGTTTGATGTGTGGAATGTGATGATTGTTTTATACGTTACGGCAAAAAGGGGGGGTTGAGATGGGAAGTTAGTGTCCGAGTGGATCGAAGTCACGATTGCTCAAGTGGTAGAGTAGCGGCGTATCAAGCCGAAGGCCGTGGGCTCGAATTCCGCTTGTGACACTGACTTTTTTATCTCAACTAAAAACCTTAATTAATTGAAAGATATTAATTGGTCAAGCGGACCACGAAAACTAGTGAATTTATACGTTATATTATATGCTTTGTGTGATGTGATGATATATGTACGTTATCGATATCGAATTTGATTAATGACATTGGCTGCGACTAAGTTTACATGTGTCTGTTCTGTAATTGATGATGTGTTTATCTCTGTTGATGTAAACCATTTCTAAAAAATAATAATATAATAACGGAATAATCATTGACTAACGGTCACTAACCACCACAAATATATTAATAGTGGCAATTTTGACGTTGTTTTGACGAAGGTTAAGCGCAACGGGATACAGAAGTAGACGGATAGAAAGGATCTGTCAAAATGTTAAGTCACTTTCAAATAACTTCATGTATCTTGTTTTGTTTGGTTCTGATGTTCAAAGTTTGAACATTTGCATAGTTTCTAGATTTAGTCTCTTTTCTAATAGCAACTGTACAATAATTAGGGTTGGTAAAGCTATAATATTATGTGTGATTTAAACTATTCCCTTGATGAAATAGAGAACAAAGTAAACATGGCAATTCAGTAAAACCAAAATAAAAACTTATAGTATACTCAAATATTGAATTTCATTGAGTAGGAAATCTATGATTTGAGTAAAATTTATTGTTTATTTTTCTTGACATTTATTTTTTGTAATTTGGTCCACCTATCCTCCTTGTTCTGTTTGTCAGACTCATTTAGGCAGTCTTTAGTGGTATGTTATTTTTCTTTCATATTTTGTATATATATTCAATATATATTCTTTGCCCATAGATTCAATATTCAAAATGAAACCAAAATTTCCTAATTAAATATGGTCCGATTCCCAGCAGTTTCGGAGTTATTCCACTTTTTTGATGTTTTAAGATTTCACGACCATGCTTCAAATAAACAATGATAACTGCAGAATTGTAAGGTTGTGCACAAATTTATTGATTACCAATGAAACCTACATCAAATTTCCAATAAGATGTGATCTATATTAAACTTGTAAACGTTCGTGAAATAAGCGTTTTAGTAGCGAAAACTTTGATAAATAATTTTTTTTTTTTTTGAAAAACTTACTATGGTGATTTTAAACTACTATTTCCAAACCTAGAGACTAACAAATTGAAAAATGTACTCCATTTAAGGGATGCAATTTCTTTTGTAATTACTTTTTTCAAAGATGAAGACATTTATGAAAGAAAACAAAACCGTGGTTGAAGGATTGGTAAGGTGGAAAGATATTAATAATAAAAATAAAAAACTTAGGAAAATTTTTGAATGAACTTATTAAACGTTTTTTAATTTTGATTCAGAATGCCCTCCACCTTCAGTAATGTATTTTCAGCGCGCTGCCGTCGCATTAAACCCGCAAAACCCGTTCATAAGATGTATATCAGCATATTCTTCATTAGAAAAAGTAGCTATAGTGTGACAACATATCACATAGATAATTAAAAACTCAATTTATTAAGGTTTTTAGTTGAGATAAAAAGTCTGTGTCACGAGCGGGATTCGAACCCACGATCTTCGGCTAGAAACGCCGCTGATCTACCACTTGAGCTATCGTGACCTCGATCCACTCGGACACTAACTTCCCATCTCAACCCCACTTTTTTTTTAATTTTCCCTCCTCTTTGCCATTTTTCAAATTTTGTTTAAAAAGTGGTTTGATTCTTGGTGACAAATGGAATGGCCGAGGATAGCTTTAGTGAAGGTATACTTCATTTAAACTTATTAAATTCACTAGTTTTCGTGGTCCGCTTGACCAATTAATATATTCCAATTAATTAATTTTTTATCTCAACTAAAAACCTTTTAGTTTTGGGGTTATCATTGTTTATTTGAAATCATCGTCGTGAAATCTGAAAAAATTACAAAAAGTGGAATAACTTCGAAACTGCTGAGATTCGGACCATAGTTTGCTTCCATTTGGAATGTATATACATATATTCACTAAATATGCGTCAATATGTCTTTGACGGATTGAGTTTGGGTTATTGTGTTCTGTTTTCTTTTATATGTATCAACTGGAGTACTTAATATGTGTATCTTCGTTTCTAACAAGGGGAGGCTACGAACTCGAGATCACCATTTTTGAAACTTTGCGGTGATAGTAGGTCAATACTACTAGGTTCTTACCAATGGGTGCTACGAGTTTGAAAAAATTAAAATAATTTACCTAATTTTCTTTTTTAAATGTGTTTTTATTCTATTGTCAAACATGTATTTAAAGGATATCATATATCATTCGGAGAAGAAAACAATATGCAGGATATTAAATGTGATTCGATATATAAAAAAATACAAAAAACAATAAGCTTTACAAGTAAAAAAATCAAAAGACTTCTTGAAACATAAAATTTCAGATTTAAGCATCCTTCAATGTCCTAATATAAGAATTTTCATAACAAAAAAGATTGGCCTTTGATGATTAGATGCAAATTTTTCTCTCTGAATTCTGGTGTTACAATTATTAATATCTGTTCTAGATTTTATGTAAATTCAATTTATATAAATTAAGGAAGCAATCAACAATAGCACCCCAACTTTGAAAGAATGGGACACTCAACTAATAAAGGAAAGAGATTCTCTCCCTCAACACAGTGAGCATAAAAAACATGGTGCTAGAACGGAAAAACAGTGAGGTTCCATTGCAAAAAAAAGCGGCCTCGCAAAACCCATGATGGTAAAAGAAAAAACAGTGACGTCACACGAACAATAAGGTTTGGCAACCACTCTCGACAAACCACATGATGGTGAAGCAAGAAAACGAAGACGTCACATGGCAAACATGGTGGTCCAATCCCATGGTGATGGAAGGAAAGAATCAGTGACATATCAAATGGCCCATCAAACCTGACGAACTAGTGAGAGCACTGGCGGTGTTCGCCCAACGTTCCCAGCACTACTTTTAGTTATAATCGGCATCAAATAACTATTCCCATTAAGTCTTGTATGTGAATGTCATTGGAATGTTTTGTTTATGAAATCCAAATGAGACCCATTTGAACCCGTTGCAACCCTCTCCTTTGCTGTCCTAATTCGGTAAATTTAAACTGATTACGACCCATTCACGTGACTCCTTTACTGTTTGTTTACAAGCAACGTTGCTGAATAGCAATTGCTACAAGCAAGTAGGTTACGATTTTTGTTGAAGCCCCGGATTAATTTTGCCACTGAGCAAGTATGCTTAAAGTAAAGAGAACCTTGTTTACATGGAGAGAAATCATGGATAATAGGATTTGTAAAATTGTAGATAATCTATTTTATCATACAATACAATATTGATGGTGTCAATCACAATTTATACAGCAGTGATTGACAACCACTGTGCCGCGAAATGATTAAAGTGTGTCTTAATTTTTATCTTGTCGTGAGTTATCTAATTTTACAACTGGCAAACATATTTTTGATGTAATTAGTTCATATTAGAAAAAATTAAAGATTCGTGGAGTTGATGTATTGGCATTTGCGCAGGTGGTGCTCCGGCTATGACTGGGCATCTAAAAGGATTTGTAGCACATGTTAAAGGACTGAATGGGAATTAGTTACCCATTGTTTTTTGTATCGAGAAGCATTTGTTACAAAATTATTAGCCATCAGAATTGAAAGTAGTTCTGGACCAATGTGTTAAAATGGTTAATTATATGAAATCAAGACCATTAAAAGTCGCTTATTTAGTCATTTATGCCAAGCTATGGAAGCAAAGTACGAATTTTTGTAAGGTGGTCGTCCAGAGTAAAAGTGTTATCTCGTGTGCTGGAATTAAAAAACGAGATGAAAATGTTTTTGAATAAAATAAAAATTATGATTTTGTTCATTTGTTCAAGATAAAATATGGTGTACTAAACTAGCTTACTTATCAAATATTTTTGTTATTTTTAATAACATAAATTCAAGTTTGCAAGGGCCGAAAAAAATATATTAAACTCAACAGATAAACTGGTTGGATTGAAAAAACAAGTAACTTTATGGAAGAATAAAGCTCAGGAGGGCAATTTGGAAAAGTTTGGGTCAGTCCCAAAAGATTTTAATAAAACTATTCATAAAATTGTTATTGACCATTTGACAACATTAGAGGAGAGAATTATTCATTATTTCCAAAATTTAGATATAAAAAAAATTGTTTGGGTTCGTAATCCATTTGTGATAAAGAATACTTCTGTATTTGAATTAACTTTGAATGAAGGGGAAGAACTAATTTCGCTTTCTAATAGTAGAGATTTAATTTTAAAATATTCGGAAGAATTAATTAATTCATTTTGTA